TCGAGAGGATGGGGCCAGCCTCTTCTCCGTGGTGCCCAGCAACAGGACAAGAGGCAATGGGCACAAACTGAACCTCAGGAAGTTCCATCTGAACATGAGGAAAAGCTTCTTGACTGTGAGGGTGACAGAGCACTGGAGCAGGTTGCCCAGAGAGGTTGTGGAGTCTCCTTCTCTGGAGATATTTAAAACTCGCCTGGACGTGATCCTGGGCAACGTGCTCTAGATGCCCATGTTTGAGCAGGGGGGTTGGACTAGATGATCTCCAGAGATCCCTTCCAACCTCATCCATTCTGTGATTCTGTGAAAACAGAGCCTTCCTGTGCTTTGAGGAATTTTTCCAGCTTGTTTAAGTATTTGGTCGTCTTATGTGTTAGTCAACGTTAAAAAAAAAAAATTCTGGTTGACAAATCTTTATTCACATAACACATCACACCATGCCCCATCTTGCCCCTTTATATAGAAAACACTGGCAAAAAGATTCCTCCCCCCCCAGAGGTAAGCTAGCTTCTGCAGTGTCCTCTTGTAAGAGAACAGCTCATCCAACAGCTGGAACACTTGCTGTTCCACAGAAGTTCAGAAGCAAAACAGCAGCTCTGCTGAAATAAATGTCATCCTTAGTAAGGAAAGGAAACTTCACAGACAGCTGTAGCAGCAACGTGCGTAAAGCCACCAAGGTTTCAGCTCTTCAGCAAGGACACTTTGCTTACAGAAGGGGAATTAGCCTACACAAGAACAAGGATGGTCTAAAAGGACAAAATAAATGAACAAATAAGTATCTATTAAAATGTCAAGCTAATCTCAAAACAGAAAGAACTCCAGTTGCAGTAATTTTTTGACTCCTACTTCAAGCCAAAAAAGGAAAATAAATTAGCTAGAGCCCTAGCTCAATTTAAGACAAATCTTGCTACACAAGTCACAGCCAGGTAAGTTTGACTGTCAAATGCTGTCTTTTCAATGGTAAACCATAAAGTTGTAAAATCCAGGTGGAATTGGATCATCTTATCAGGCACAGGAAAAAAAATTGCCAGGGATGCCTTGTAGGGAGCCCAACTGATCTCACAGAAGATGATCTAACAAGTGCGTAGTGTGCTAAAAATCTAAGATTTAGACCTTATGGTAAATTTAGATTTAAGATTTAGATTAAAGATACAGCAAGACAGATCACCTCTCACTGCAGGACCTCCTCTTTTCCTTTAATTCCCTTCTCCCTCTGGCTCAAATGCAAAAATGCAAACCAATTCTGTATTTGGCCTGCTGGGGTGTTCTGAGAAAGCCGAGCAGACTGAGGAGCGTTCATTGAGAGCACAAAACACTTGAGAAGCATCAAACACGTTCATATGCATAAAACAGCCAGGTGTGCAGCACACAGCATATACAAAAAGCCTTCCTGCCTTCCTCTGCTGAATTCTGATGGCATCTCAGCCTCCACTGCTGTGTCTGCGATGCAGCCAGATAGCCCTCTGACAACTGATGCTTCACGTGTCCTGGGTTCAATATATGAAGCTGACTGGACTGTGACACCTAATGAACTTGAGTAGTCTCTTTTGAGCTTTAAAGGTGTTGCAACAGCACATCGGTCAGTCAATGCTTTAGTTACACAACTGTAAACAAGCACTGCTGAAACCTGCTTTACTTGCCCATATTAACTGAAATTTCATTTTTTACAATTATTAATACCATTTTTCCAAGTTTGCAACAGGCTGCATAATAATCAGAGAAAAGTTTCTTGCATCAAAGAAAGATAAGATGTAGAACTCGTAAACTGTTACTAATTAAAAGATCCATAACCGTTCCAGTTAGCAAAAGCTGAAGGAATTCCCAGCAGAATGCCATGTCATCGGAATATGGCACCTCTGTGCCACTGTTAGATATCTGGAAAGCTCTAGACTTGTATACAGGATTGGGGGGAGGGAATGTATGTAAAGGCTGTTTGAAATGGATGATGCCCAAAATCTCCGGATGGCCACTCTACCAGAGTCCAGAGGAAAGGAGTGCCATATTTAAAAAACAAGTCATTTCATAACTGTGAATATTTAAATACAAATAGACAACTTCAGAAAACTCTCCTCCCATGCCAACTGATTTTAAATGAAAGGTTCCTTGCCCTGATCCCACTATTATTCTGAATGTAAAGAAGAGCAGAGAAAGCCCCTTCCAGATTTAAACAGAAAAATTACAAGGCAGAATTTGAGCAGAGCAAGGACTTGCCTGCTTCATGTCATCTACAAACACCAGCTGCAAAGCATAAAACCCCAACCAACCAGCTCAGAAAAGAAATACAACTCACCTGAAACATGATATGCCCTAGGAACAACAATGTCAAAGTCTTTACAGTCTTTGGAGGTTGGATTTGGTACTAGGCACAGTGGAGGTGACAAGCCTAATCTGCATCTGACCGGAGGAGAATGAGACAGCATTTCCTAACCAAATGGTGAAATGGAAAGGAACAGTGGTTACAGGAGACATTGTAAAACCTTCTACTAAGCAGAAGGCAGTACAGCATTCAGCTTCCACTGGGAAGCAGCAGGGCACAGAAAGGTACCAAAACATACCTCAGGTAAGATGAGAAGCTTTTCAGCCTTAAAACAGGAAGATTTGGGCTGTATTGTATTGTATAAAAAAGTTAGCAGAGGTTATTACCATGCTTTTAGAGTTATGACCCTTCCTCCCAAATCTTTCTCCCTCCCAGAAAAAGGGTATGCAGATGGGAACCCTTCGCTGCCTGCCTCTTCTTGCACGCTTACTCTGCCAGGAACGTGCCCACAAACAATGCAGAATGCTCGTCAGTGGCTTGCTTTCTGTAGAAAATATACTGAGATCACTTCTAGTTAGCACAGGAAAGGCTTACTACATCTCACACTCTGCCTCTGCGTCCTCTTCTCCCTATCTACCCAAAAGAGCACTCATACCTTGCAATACAGCTGGGCAAAATATTCACTTCTGCTTCCTACTTAACCAGCTTCTTAAACTTACAGACAGTAAGGTGAGCATAGGAAAGGCTACGGATATTTTCATAGGGTCATGTTCTCAACTACAGCATCTCCAGAGAAATGTGTTCCCCTAGGTGCTTTCCACGTGAGATGTGAATCTGAGTGTGACTTGTAAACTCTGAAGTTCCCAGGAGGGGCTCATCCAAGCAGCACCCAGAGGAAAGTAGGCAGTACATTTTGGAGGGCAGTCTGTTTTGCTCCAAAAGATTATCTCCTCTGGCAATAGTTCAGTAGCTCATGTCAGGTACTGCACCACAAGAAACATAATTACACAAGTCAAAAGCATTCCCCCAATCATGAAGTATTTATCTTGAAAGGCTCGCTTCTCAATCAGTCGCATCACTGTATTGGATAAGCCCAACATGTTAGCAACATCCAGCATCTTCTTGTGAGTACCCTACAAATAAATAAAAAGAAACCATTAAACTCATGGTCCCACACTTCTCATTCCACAGTCTACAAATCTTTTCCCACAGATGGCAAGTGACGAATTCTGATCCCTCAGTAAACAGTGGAACTTACTATCAGCCAACGGCTCCCATAATTTAGGGGGAGATGGCCACAGGACCCTAGAAATCTGCTGGATGATGAGACAAAGCAATTTGCACACTTGAACAGGAATGAGGTTAAAGATACAAAACAGTGCATGCAGGCAGCGGCATCATACAGAGCAGCTCAGAGAAAGCACCCTCCCTGCCGAGGCATTCAAGGATTTTTTTCTGGGTCGCTTCCAGACATACAGTGTAAGAGCTGGAAGCATCTTGAAAAAACAAGCTTTCTTGCAAAACTTCCCTCCTGCTGGTCTCAAGTACTGTTCATAGCAGCAAGAGGTTGGAAAGGAGGTCCAGAAACTTGTAAGGCTAGTGGTAGGGTGCAACGAAAAGGCATATAAAGCATAATTAATGCAATTTCAAGAAATCCTTCATGAGAGTAACAATGAATAGACTGCTAGCAAGTATACTGCAGATAGGATTGTGTCTCAGTTCTGTTTTGCTGCTGAAGCAGTTGATATTAAGAATGTCTGTGGATCCCACCAGTTACACACATCAGCACAGAAAAACACAGTCAGCTGTGGAACTGGAAGTACCCAGAAATGGCCCAGGGGAAATCTCACTATTGCAGCACAGTAGGAATATTCCTACTTTATTTCAGGGCAAGGGTCAAAGGCAAGAAAAGGAAACTGTGTAAAATTCAGGCACATAAATGTACTCTGGACACAGTTCAGAGCTGGTCATCATCCCATCTGGGGAGGCAGAGGAGACAACCCATGGTGCACATCGCTTAGCTCCAGAGTGACAAGGTTACGGGTAGGTGAGAAGTACCTTTCTAGGTAAGCTATAGAGAAGAACAACATACAGATGGGCAGGCAGAGATGCTGCGCTGAGCTCCACAGAGCCAACTCAGCCAGCTCACAGGATGCAATCAATCAGCTAAAGCATACCTCTGGGTATGTTGGGGGACAATCGGCCAGGACCACCTCCATCGCACATGTGGGAGCACGAAGATGGACACTGCTACAAGCCTTACTGCACAATGGTTATGATAATGGAGCTAGTCTCTCAAACTGACTTCTAGGTCCAAGTCCTTGAGGCACACCTTGCTTCAGAAAGCTGTTAGAATGAAGTTATTTATCCTCCAAGCAAGCGTAATAGCACATGTTCCCAACACAATGCTCCACTACTGCTTTTAACTTGAAAACAAAAACACTCTGTTCTCACAGTCCACTGTATCTTTGGTTTCAGAAGAATAAAAGGTGAAATTTGGGAATGGTTTTAATATAAACCAGACTAACATCAGAAAAGCTCCCTGAGGACAGAATTTATATCAAACAGTTTAGATACACATACATGAACAATTACTAATCTCAACCTGTACAGTATACAGATTTCCAATACTACGTCAGATAACCAGCTTCTTGCGTACAAAGCAGCGCAGGTATTTGCACTTCGCTGAAATCAGCTTAGGTTCTCAGCTGATAAAATGCAATTGAATTTTTCACCTTCATTTCACACACCTCACATTAAACCCCTAGATTCTGCACTTTTAAGTTCAGCACTTTTCCTGTCTCAGCAGCAATCTTTTTCACACTACCTAATAACAAAGAAACCTGTGTTCTGCTTGAAGAGAAATTAAAAGATGCTTGCTTTCGCTCTAAAGCTACAATAGGAAAAATGAAGACTCTTCAATTCTTGCAGTCAGTGGAACAGTACTGCTGGAACAGCTGAATTATGCAAGACTTGTGACAATTTGAGAATACTTGTTTTCCTACTTGCCTCTATTTATAACTAAAATCCAACAAATTACATAGTTTACCCCACTCTCAAATTAATTCTCTTAGCTATGTAAAAATGACTCTACGGTAGCTGCTTCTGCCAGAACTGTAAACCTTCAACAGAGTTTAGCATGTTTAACAGTGTAAGAAAAGCTCAGAGGAAAAAGGAACATGAAAAGACCTTCCTGAAGGAAGAAGTAGGAAATATCCCCAAAAAACAAAAGAATTCAATGCTCCCAAAAGCAATAGATGATCAGTAGCAGTGGGCAGAGACCCACTAAACGTCACTATTACAAGTCTAGCCTGAAGTTTCCCTGACTTGCCACAAGCTGGCAGCTAAGACATGTCATGTGTACCTTTGCAAAAGGCCAGTTGTGGGCTAACATAAATCCAGGCAAGTTACTGCAACCTAACTAGCAAAAGAGCAGGACAGGTCTTCTAACTACAACAGGAAATAGCATTTCTTCTCAGTCTCTTTGAGGCAGCAGGTCCCACAAGTGTTCCTTTATCACATTTGTCAAGTATGGTAAGTTCTCCTGACCGGTGATATATGCCCTTCCTCCTCAGGAACCCGCCAGAAACCAAGGGCATCAGTCAGTCATCAGAGATTAACTTGAATCAGTAACTCGCATCTTGTAGAATCCACAACCTCACATTCCCTGTATGAAGCAGAGGTACAGTGGAGCACCTGAATGACTGGGTGCCCCAAATTAATGTGGGTCAGCCACCAAAGTCATCCAATTGTAAACAAAGAGGACAAATGTTTGTCTTTGTCCCACCCTTCTCAAGGACATACCAACTTCAGGGAAGCTGCTTTTTCCAAAGAGGATTCACAACCCTGAATCCTCTCCTGGCGCCAGCAGCCAATCTCTCCTACCTTTTCTTCTACCTCTGCTTCACAAGATGGTAGCAGAACCCCTCCTTCTACCCACTAGCTCTATGGCTAGTGCACTCAGCTACAACATACTTTTAACTGAGCGTTAACTGCCACACTAAGTCACTATATTCCTGTTGAAAATATTTCTCCTAATTGACTTGTAAAATTGACTTTAAAAAAAAAAAAATTTCACTAGGTCAGCAAGCAAATAGCTTTAACCAAGAAGCTAACATTCATTTCAGAGAGGAAAGAGACCTGGGCTTTGACTCTGCTCTAAAGCATCAGTGCAACATTCATGGGCACAGGGACTGATCACCAGACTATTAAGCAAAAGATTAGTTGCAACATTGCTTTCTGCCATTATCCCTGTGCTGGTCCAATCCAGTATTTTGCGAACAGCAGCTAGCCTGGACCTCTGCAATCAAGACAGGAAATTACTTGCTTGTGAATTTGACATTAGGATTAGAATAAGCACCTAGCAACTCCACCCTGTGGAGACTCCCAGCTCTGGTCACTCCTAGGAAATAGGTACCTTAGGTGCTAAAACTTGCTCCAGGAAAATTCCTATGCACTCTAAGGGTGAGATCCATAAGTGTCTGCAGTTCACTTGCATGTAATGTGTCTAGGCTCCCTTTATAGTCAATGGAGTTTAAGGTGTGACTCATCTGACCAAATGTTAGCAATTAAATCCTCTTGCAGATACATCCCAAAACAAAGCCGCATCACAAAAGTAAACAGTTTTTCATCATCAGATAGATTCAGCAGAGGTATGAATTTCCTCATACTTTTCATGGATCCAACTTCCCCCACACATACGCTTCTTTATAAAAAGCTCTTCCTGTATCTTTGAGATATTTTCTTAGAATTTAACAGCACTTTGAACAGTCTTTAAAATAAAAGACAAATATGAGCTATTCTCAAGAGACGTAAAGAAATACAGCTTTCATTAAGAATAGTGAGGGAAAGATATATTGTTGAGTTGCATTAGATCTGAGAGAGTATTATCTTTATTATTAATTTTAAACATAACTACTTTAGGCCAGCTTTGTGGTTCCTGAGTGATGGTCATCTGCATCAAGACCTATCTGCAGGCTAGCCCTCATTTCCTATTCTTCATTTGAGCATTTAAATAATAATAATAAAACAAAACATAGCATTCAGTGTTTCATATACTGACTACAGCACAGCTGAATACTGCTAGGCTATCTGGCCATAAAAAAACAGCTTAAAGTTGTTCCTAAAAAGATGCTAAAATGTAAAGGTTTCAAGTTTAGTTAAAATGGGGTTTGGGCCTTTCTCAGCATTCTCAGCTTGAAGCAGTGCACTGAAGCAAACTCGTATATTGATTTATTTTACTTAGCCTGGTCATCATAAATGCAGAAATGTGGGGTCTTTTTGGTAAAAAACGATGCCCCACCTTTAGTGTCACTCTCTGGTCCCTCAGCCCCTGAAGGATGTTGGTCCCACTGCCAATAAGATCATCCATGCCACGATGGGCATTCTGCAGGGATTCATTAAACTGTAACGTTTCGTCGATCGGTATGGTGGTGTCAGAATCCTGTAGAGGAAATGCAGTGTCTTGGTTACCTTGCCTGCTCACTTGTACTGCCCATTCATAGTTAGATACAGAAAGAGAACATGCAGAAACAAACGTGGCAGAAACCTGACAGGACTTGAGGGATTACACCATAAAACATTTTTAGTAAGGACATTAGATACATCTTTAACTTCTGAGTGAAAAAAGTAGCTTAAAGAAACCTATAGAAAGTAGAAGTTTTTTAAATGTTATCAGCTGTTTGACTTCCATTAGCTCTCAAAGGATAAAAGTCAGGTTAAAAGTTGAGAAATTTTCATAATCTCATTTTATGACTCACGTAGGAAAGAGTATTACAATAGAGAATCATTTGCCAAAACTAACAGAAAAGGTTTAACAAAGCTAGTCATTTGATCATTGGAAGTGAAAGATTTGTGAAAGATTTGATAGCATAAGCTTTTAATTGACAAAAGGCCTACAAAACACAATATCTGGACGATGACATTCTAGAAACTCATATTCACAACAAGGTGCAAATTTCTGATATTCAAATGTCTGTCTGCTGTCACTAAGTTCCCTGAAGATCTGGCTCAGTCACCACACAAGGCCCTATAAATAAAAAAAAACTCCCAGCAGAGATGCACTAGCTCAACTAGAAACTATAAATCTAGAAATAGAAGTAACGGGATGAAACTCTATAATCTGGGTTGCACAAGAAGTCTGAGGATGTGATCAGTTTTGCCTTTGAAAAGGCTTCCATTTTAATCTTCTCTGGACACCATTCCATGAAGAGAGTAGGATAACAGTCAGGAAATCATGACAAACTTCCACACTGTTTTAGGAACAGGAATTAGTAAGAGGTAAGCATGGAAACACTGGCTTACCTGCTTTCATATACTCAGAATGGCAAGGAGTACTAAAAAGCCGAATTCATGCTTAGGATACAAGTTGGTTAATACCCTACCTCTGTCAGCTGTAGTTTACATGCATGTAACCATGCCAACTTGCACAAAGTAGTTTATGATGATTATTGCAGAAAAAAATGTTAATGTAGTTTTTGAGAACGCTTTAAACATGTACGATGCAGTGTTAGGTGTTTGCCTGCCTGGATGGGCGTGCCAGGCATTCTGTTTGCTGACTGTAAAAGAATGAAGAATAAGGGACAGAGCTGTTAGCAGTTATGGGGTAAAAGTGACTGAATGAAGAAGGCTCTTGACATCATAAACAACTCTTAGATCAAGTGTTAACGAAGCACTGAGGTTGGAATAAGTGTCTTATCTAAAATGAGTCTGTAGACTGGATCCACTATGATTTGCAATGACTGAATGACTATTATTTCAAATATTCATTGAGCTTCACATCAGAAGAAATTCCATTTCCTATACAAGGAGTATGCAGGTCTTTTTATACACAAGCGAGCAAGAAAAATGTCAAAGTAAGTTTTTGTGCCCTTCACTGGGACCCCAGACGGACTGTATGTTTTTCATTTGCTGTTAGTGATTTTCTCTAGAATGGTATAAAGGAAGCTTTAAAGATAAAGACCACATTTATCTTTGAATTAAGCAAAATAGTCAGAACACTTTTACAGCTTTCAAGAGCTGTTATTTTGATGAGATTTATTCAAGCTGCTTACATACTCAGCTGACATTTCTATTTAATAGAATGATGTAGCATATAAATAGAAGCTGTGTAAACTTTTTAAAGGACACTAAAATTTTAAGCAAAACAGGTAGGCCAATGACTGAAAAGTGAATCACCATTTTGGTATTAAGAGGCCCTTCCACTTTAAAAGTCCTATTTCTGTAACAATGAGCTAAAATAAATACAGAATAATTCAGTTTTTTCCATCTTGAGACAGTTTTCAACATCTAAAGGAGAAAAAGTAGTCTGTCATCTGTCTTGCATTTACAAGCCCACTACCGCTCTTCAAAACCGTTTCCACTTGCACATATATTTTCTTCCTGGACAACATCTTCCTATAGGAAAAATTTCTACACGTTTGCAGAGGAACATTACAGCTTTTTGAAAACAAATCAGGTTCCAAGTGCCAATGTTCCTTTGAAGTCTTGTTTATAGTTTTGAAGTAGCCAAGAAAATGCTATAAATCAACTTTATGTGGGGCTTTGAGAAGTCCATTGAACTTCCTAAATCTCAGGAAAATACAGCCAACTCATATTCAGTCTACTTTGCCCTAAGAGTGAATGGCAACAGAGAAAGTGAATGGCAGGTTATTAAAAAAAAGTTATAAGCTCTTGAGTAACAAAAAAGCAGAAGCCTGAAAGTGAACCTACATTATTCAGAGCAAAGTTTTTCTAGGAAATTGCATAGGGGAACTTCGAAGTGGAGAAACTAAAAATTAACAAGAACAGGTGGAAACATACCCCTTTCATTAAAAACTTGTGAGTGGTTTACAGATACAAAGGAAGGGTTTTCTAGCTGTATGAGTTATATCTGGTCAAATGGAAGCTGGCTGACATCCAGTGACATCAGAATGTATAAAACCTACTGATAGACAAAAATATTTTCCAGACATTTTTACAGACCCCAGGATTTGATACAGATATTTGAGACAAATTCCAGTAAAATGTATACTTTGGTACCTACCTCATTCACCCTTTTGGAACTGCTATAAGTAGTCAGATACAGCTGCACTGGATAAAATAGGAACAGCAACTTTTGAAACATTGGCTGCCTTTCACTACTGCCTTCTAATAAAATCAACTTTTCCTCAGGAAATAGTTGTGCTTTTTCAAAATGTACTGTTATTCTTTTCTACCTTTTTTCCATTTACATCATCTCACAGCAGTAATCTAATGGAGCCAAGCTTAAGTCTTATCTGAAACTTCTCTGAAAGAGGTTGGCCTCTAGAACAGACAGATCTAAAACAAAGAATATTTACATTAGTAGTGAATGTACGTGCAAGCAACTCTTCTCGCTGTCGCTCTTGCTGCTCTCGGATGTATCGGCGATGTTGAAAGTTCCTCAGGGCTGTCTGCAGATGTTGAACATCATACTTCAGCTGGTCAACTCGGCTAGACAGAATCAACAACAGGAAGACATTCCCAAGGGTAAATATACCAATCTTTTCTGATTTTTTGTGTATGAACAATGGAGCATTATAAATTAACAACCATGGATATTAAGAATCGTGGGTTTTATTCCTCTAAAAGATAAAGAACATTCAATGTTAGGCCTATATTCCAGGCTTTGATCTTCTTTTTCAACTAAACAGGTGATTATTTAACCAGAATATAACAATATAACGTGAAGGAGAATTCTTGAACTGTCTTGTACATCCTTTCCTGTGACTAGTCTCCTCAGAGGAGGTATATATATATTCCTCATTTAACAGATTTGGAAAGACAGTAGGATTTGTATAGCTTCTATTTTATGACATACATTCACACAAAAGATTAAGTTTTCACGTTTCATTCATTAACACCATATTCTTGAGCTTGAGTTTTTACAGAAGGAGCCTAAAAGCCAGTGGCCAATAATGGAGACTACTGGGCTAAAATGAATCATATCCACAACTCCATTGTTTCTGACTAACTGTTCATTGACCATAAAGGATGCTTACACAGCTAACTCAGATATTGATCTCTATAGTATAGCTGATATGATATCTACCTCTGCTATCTATGAAGGCATTTCAGGACTAAATCCTAATTGAAGAGTCACAGAATAATTTAGACTAGAAGATTACTCTGGCAGTCTCTGGTGCTACCTCCTGCTCAAACCAATGCTAAAGAAAGCTTCTTATTTTAGTCACCAACAGCTTGGCAGAGAAAGTGACACCAACTGAAGTTATTTTACTCCTTACCTCCAGAAATGTCATTAAAAGTAAATGCCATAAAGAGTGCAACTTCTTTTAAGCATGGAGAGCCTGTGTTCTGCTCATCTCAGAACACAGCTGAGTTTAGCTGCTTCTGTGGTTAAATGTAGGAAAGTTATTTTGCTTCTGTACCTCAATTCTATTATTGTAAAGCACAGGAATAAGTTATGCAAATGTAAAGGTTTCAGTCACATGGAAAGGCAAAGGTTTCTACATCTTTTACTTAAAATAATTACAAAGACTACAACATTATTACAGCAAAGAAGGTGAACTTACAGTTTAGCATTCTGTCGCTTATTGGGAGGTTCTTTGCTGGATAGGATTTCTAGACGTTCCAAGTTGCTGAATATATTGTCTATTCTTGCCTGAATCTCATTTTCTACTACTGCAATGAAAGAATTATATGTTTTGGTTTGAATGAAAGAACTGCAATCTGAGGGAAGGTAACAGATCAAAAATTTTCAAACCAGTTTTTAATACCTTACAGATACAAATCCTTACTAGGTGAAAAGAGCAGATGAACTGAGAATTATACAGAACATGAAAACCTACTTCTCTAAGTGGATAATTTAAGACTCTTGCCTTCCCCTCCTCTTCTGAATAGGGATCTGGGAAAGCTCTGGTAGCTTCTCCAAAATGAAAAAAATCCCTATCTCCTCTGCATATTAGGATTTGAAGTCCCCATGTTCTATTCCGCAACCCCATCCTGATGCTTCAATAGGACTTGCTCATACAAGCTATTATCCAAGAGGATTCTCACAGTAATTGCAATTTAAACCTCTGAAAACTGTAACACAAAGTTAATATACATCTCATCCCTACCTATAGGGAGGGAGATTGACAGACCACAGGAAGTATTAAGAATTGATGGAACAGGTGAACTGGATGAACTCCTCAAAAAACATGGCCAAAACAGGGCTGAGGAGCCATTAGGGGTGGAAAACAAGGCTACATAACTATTGCCTCTCTAATCATCCAATTCATAATAGCTTCTGCTATCTATGTAGCAATAGCAGAGGCATGAGAGTGCAAAAAGCTAAGTCTTACATACTTGTCCTTTAATGGGGTGGGAAGCAAATAAAACTGGGGAAGTCTTTCATATCCTTTCAGTTACTTGACCATTGCATAGCAAAACTTGTTAAAGGAAGAAAGTGGCAGTGGCTTGTACCAATTACATTTTCTAACCATGTCACCACCCATCATTTCAAAACTTAAAGAACTGCATGGAAGGATAAAAGACTGGAGCACTTTTAGTGCACTTATAGCGCTTTAGCTGTAAGTTTGAAGGTATACATCATACCATGCATGTCCACAGACTTATTAGAGGACATAGAAGCACCATCATGTCTGTGCAGCCACGAGGACAGTCCTGAAGCTGACGTATGTCTGTGACTGCCAGAGTCAAACCTGATATAAATAATCACCAGATCCTACAGTCTTTGTTCTCATTTGCTTTTAGACTAGAGAGTATACAGGAAAGCATTTTTAACAAACAGCTAATTACTCCTTGGTATCTCAGGGCTTTCCAGAACATCACACTCAGCAAAATCCAGAAAAGCAAACAGCACTTCACTTTGTGCTTGGATCTCACATAATCAGAGAGCAACCAACTCACACACATAAACACAGATTAACCAAGTTATCCTAATTCATCTCTCCATCATTCAGTATAACTAACAGAAAAGCAGACAGATAAATTGCATGCGTTGTTGCTTGCATAAATAATAGTATCGGTATCTTATGAGTTGTATGTTTGTCTGAGATCAAAACGTGACAAGAAGAACTGCAACTGAAACTTTGATTTCCTGGCTCTTTTTCCTACTCTTCAGCCAAAAGATAATTCTTTTTTTTTTCCATAAATTCTCAAATACGTATAGCACACAGCTGTACTTCCACATACAAACAGTATTCATTGAATCACTACGTTAGATGGTACATAACCCTGTATCTTAAATTGGCCTCAAGCAGCAGAGAAAAAATGGCAGATTATGCTAACTGAGGCTCCAAAATCAGATCTAGCGAATGGCAGCCCAGGAAGTCTGGCAATTGTACTAGGTGCAATAGTAGCAACCACCAGCAGACAAGTCATTAGTTTTCAAATGGGAAAAATTAATCACAGCCTTTTCTACAATAGAGTCATACTTCACAAATATATTTTGGGTAATAGAAACCAGTCAATATATGGATAAACATATCCAGTCAATGTAGTGTACTTTTCTTTCCAAAAAAAGGATTGATGAGGCTCATCAACAACGCCTCATATAGGAATTAAGGATTCAAAGACAAGCGAAGAACATGTCAAAATACGCTTGCCAATTCTGCACTGGGTTGAAAAGCCCTGCCACAATATAGCATAGTATTACAGTCATTTTATTAACACAGGGTTACAGTCTAAATTTGCGGAAGCAATTTTAGATATAGCTGTTCTCCCTATTCCACATAAGCAGAGGGAATTACAGGCTCCAACTCAGATGCAAGCTAGATCAGAATCATCCTGCCTCAATTCCTGCACAGCAAACCACAGAATTTTTCCTAGAACCTGCATTAAACATATTCTTAGGAAGGCAGCCAATTAGCGGATGCTGAAGGAACTGCAGAATAACAGGACAGATGCACAGTGACATTTCTCACTCTACTTCTGAGCTTCTAACAAACTGGTTTGATGATCTCCTGGATTAGCACACACATCTGTGTTTACTGTATTTTGTTCTATCTTTTCCACTCTGTCCTACAAAACCATCACCTTATTTAAGTCAAACAGTTTTAATGGATTGAAGTCAAACAATTTTAATGCATTTCAAACTTGTGATGTGTCTCACCAGTTGACCACAGGGAATGAGAAATCAAACTCATTCCACTAATGACAGTAAATAGAATGATAAAGCATACAAGGTTAAAGGCGTGAGTTAAATTGAATGAGCAGCAGGGTGGAACATTTCTCTTTAATTAACTACTTACAGTGTACTGATTGTTTGTCTGATGTCTCCAGACGCCCCATGTGAGATTGGACCTCATGGACTTGTCTATCAAAGGGCAAAGAGGAAAAAAACAGAAGTCAGCTAACATCTATTAAATCAAAACAAATTCAATACCCTCCTCAATTTTCACCTCCCCTTACAGAAAGTACTTTCCAGAACAGACTAGGAATCAGACACGTGGTACTCAGTGCACACAAGGTCCATCACTAAACATAAAAAACACTCTCAAATCTTCAATATGAAAAAAGCTGTGCTTTCACTTATTATGCACCTACAAAAGAACTTTGAGGCAAGAGTTTAAAAATCAAAATAAAGGTGAAGAGATTTCCATTCTAGTTCTAGCTTTTTTCATACTCATAATCTGAACTGACACTCAATCTCACATGTCAAAACACCTAGCATACCGCAAGCCATTCAAACCTGCTTACTCCAAGACAACTCTTGGAGACAAGACTTCAGATTCATAGTATGAACTCACAAATGGTGAGTACAGCACATGGAAGATATGACTGGTAAAAAAGTTAGTACAAGAGAGACCTTAAGAAACATATCTGCAATGAAACACTGCCCACACGCACCACTAAAGTCAAGAGTGCAGATGAGACAAATGGCACATGAGACACCAGGCCTACGCCACCACCTAAATGCACAATATACATCATGGATACTATACACAAATTCTGCCCCTCCATCTCAAAAAGAACACAGATGCACTGGAAAAGGTTCAGAGAAGAACTGTAAAGATTATGAAAGATACAGAACAGCTTTTATACAAGAAACAAAAGGTTCTTCAGTCCACAGAGGAGATGATGGCAGGCAGACATCATCGAGGTCTGTAAGAGCAAAAACGGCATGGGAGAAGGTGAACAAGGAATAACTGTTCACTGTCTCTTCCAGTATAAGAAACACAGAGGCATCAAATTAAATTAAAAGATACAAAAGCATCATGGTATCTTTTCTAAATATATCAGTGAGATCATAATTATGATCATGTTAGTGGCTGTTTTTCTGATGTATGCAATACTCTACAAGTTTAGCACAAAAGTTTATGAGACCAGGCCACAAAAACCAACTTATCTTACAAATAGAGTGCTAAAGCATTCATTTTGTCAGAATTATGAGCTTTTTAATAACTATCAGGACTACCTTCCAAATCATGACACTGTGCCACTAAACTGGTAATTCCAACTTTATAATATAGTACTTACAGCCAGCCTCATTACTACTAATGACATGTTCTGTTAACAACAGAACCAACTCATTAATCAGCACCTTGCAGCAGTTCTTGTTCCGTATAGTTTTGTTTCCTAGAAGTTTCTCTAGGATGCCCCAAATATTTTAAGATTCACATTGCTCCCAAAATGACTGTTTAAAAATCCAGGTGTAGGATCTAAATCAGACCATGAGGAACTGCATCAGAACAACTACTTCACATGCCATCCTCCTGGAAATACAGCATAACCAAGAATGGGAGTTTAAATATTAAGATTATCCCCAGATTGACAATAAACTACTAAAAAAAAAAAAAAAAGCTCAGGAAGTACAATCACAGAATAAGACAATATGCAAACTGGAACAATGCAAGGTATTCTCCTTATCAATAACATTAACTATTATGGATATGCTTTTTCAGCTCTTCCCTACAGTGTCATCCTGTATTATTATTTAACTAAAGGCTCTGCCTTACCACACTGCCTCCTTCAACAGAGCTCACCAATGAAATCCTTTCCCACTGAAAACTGTTAGACTTGAATATTTAGATGAATCATTTAATTTGGCCTTTTCCCCAGGAGTTATTTCATATGACATTGAACTGCAAGGTTCCTGTCTCATTCATAGCTTACAATTTTCATATCGCTTCTGCCTCATAACCTGTGAAGTGTGGTGTTGTATACCATTACAATTAGTTAAGTCTTTCCTGGAACAGTTTAGTTGCTGTCCACTGGCAATCACAGAACTCCACTGCTATAAAAATACACACTACAAAACTAGTATGCCTTAAACGTACAAGCATCTAGTAAGAGAGAATCAGCTTTCTCAGGGGATACTTAGAATTTTGTACTTTAAAAATCCAAGGCGACCAGCTTTGCTTTCAGACTGACGTGGCTTAAAGACAAGCTGGGACTTTGGACAGTTAAGCAGCCAGCTTGGAGGACCACGACTCGGTTCCTTCTGCAGACTGAAAAAATAGTCCCTTATGGTGAGGCCCCGGAGTGAAAGAGAAGATATTTATTAGCAAAAAGCTTTCAAATGATACCAAGAGGAGAGAAGCAGCTAAAAAACCTCAACGAGCTTAGCATACGTGCCCTAGCGCTGCCTGGTGTTACCCGCAGGACGCCCTGCCGCCATCAAACTCTTTGCCAGAGCTCCCTTACGCACTGCCTGAGGCTGCGGCCGGGCCCGACCCCGGGCTGCCCGCAGCCCCTCAGGGGCTTACGACCGTTACGCCCGCCCCCGTTACACGGGGACACAGCCGACCTCAGCCGCTTCCCCTCAGGGCGCGCCGCTCATCATCGCCAACGGTCCACGGCAGTAGAGCCACCAAGCTACTTCTCCCCCCCCGCCCCGCCGCAC